AATAGCCACTGATGGACCAAAACATTAACCAAAACAAGAAAATAAAACTTATTTTAAATACTGAGAAATGCATCAGTCAGTTTTTTAAACCAAGAGCTACATCTTTGGCACAACTAATTTAATCTTCCAACAAATATCACCATCTAAATCTTTAATTGTTGGTTTTATACATATATATATATTATTTTTAAAGCCCTGACCTGGATAGCCCAGGCTAACCCAATCTCAGCAGACCTCAGAAGTTAAGCAGGGTTGGCCCTGGTTAGTATTTGGATGGGAGACCACCAAGGAATACTGCAGTTGTGACGCAGATGCAGGCAATGGAATGTCTCTTGCCTTGAAAATCCTACGGTGTGCCATAAGTCAACTGTGACGATGGCAAAAAACCAACTAGACCATTGTTTTAAAATTGATATGTATTGTCTTTTTAAAAAACTAGTCACTACCTTGAGGGCTCTAATTGGGTACAAAGATGGCCAAGTATATTTTTTGCCTGTGTGTACCCATAATGATCAAAATGTAAACCATGAGAAAGCACCTCTAATATATTGACTAGTTGGAGCAACTGCCCCCCCAACTGAACAAAACAAAACAAAACAAGCCCTGATTTCACAGCAACTACTCCAACATGCAGCACTCCAAAATGTCTGTCTCAGGGTCAGTTTGGCCAGTGCTATAAGGCCACTTCCCAGCATTTTGTTGCTCCAGGGGGAAAAAAAGTGATGTAATATTACAAAAAAATCCTTTGCTTGCAAAGTTAATGTACACAAGATTCCCTTTGTGTGGCCAGAGAACAAGGTACAAAGAATGCCTGGGAATTTTTTTCTACAACATTGGCTTGCACTTCTTTGGCACCATTATCACAGTAATGGCCACAAATACGAGACATCAAGAACCCATGTATTTCTGTCACTGTACCCAACAAAATGCTTGCAAAACCTTTCTACCACAATATCTGTGACATGCAGAAATTCCAAAAAACCTCCTTGATTTCCTGCTAACGAGAGGGGATTCTTTCAAAGTATTAAGTTTTTCTGTAGGTTTGTGGGGAGGGACAGGGGGGTTGTAGTGGGGAAGAGTCAGCCTTTTTTCTTTCTTTCCAGTTCTTAAAAAATATTGTTCCTTCATTTTCTTTTGTGATTTCATGGAGTTTTGGGGCTTTCCTGTTCATTTTTAAGTATTTATTTGTTGTAGCAGGTTCAGAAAAAAAATTCTGGTTATGTTTTAGTTAACAGTTAACTGTAGGTAAGGATTGGTTTGGTTTGAATTCTCTGTTTGACATCACTTCTGCTGCACTTGTTGTTCTGTTTGCACTGGAGGCTTTTGGCCAGTAGTTGCTCTTGTGTGTTTGGCTATTGGTTTCATGAATTTTTTGCCGTAAGGAAATAATGGCAACAAATAGGATGGCTGGGGGGAACTTATTCAGGGGCCTGTAGAATCGGACAGGCAGCATTAGAACCCCCACAATTTTGGTGCCATTTTAGTCAAAAACACCCCCTTCGGGTCCCCCTCAAGGAATAATGAATAATTCTGGGATCCCGGAAAAACACCAAACTCAATTCCTGAAACAGTATTGGGGGACCCAAATATCCTCAAATACCACTACTTGGTTCTTTTAGGTGTATATCCATAGTAACTAATGAATCTGATTGACCCCTGTTAGTGATATATGTTACAGAAACTATAGTTTTAACTTAATGTACATTAATTTATATGTTTTAACTATGTTTTAACTGTGTATGTTTATATTTTGTAAGCTGCCTTACGCATTGTAGAAAGGCAGGATCTATGGTAAATAAATAAATATGGCAGTGAAAAAGGAAGAACAAACAAGAAAACTAATCAAACAGTACATTGCATATGGCTATGCTGCAGTAAAACACTGATATATTATTAAATGCTACACCAAGAGCACTTTAACTAATAACAGTTTAATGCCAATAACTGCATTTTCAAGTTATTGTATAAAGACTGGATTCATGGCAGCATATGAAAATGACATTTCAGAATGCTGCAAAGTCACTGACAAACAAATAATAGAAATATCTGAGATATCAAAAAATCTCCCAACTCCAGAAATAAACCATAAAACTTTAAGAAGCAGCTGAAGATTCCCATATGCGATGTTACCTTTCTTAACTGACTAGAAGCTTACTAAAATTATTTTAAATAGTGTAAAGTTGGTCATTTGATCAGTCAAAAAAGGTTTGGTTAACTGACTGGTCCAAGATTATAAAATATTGCTAAGTACTGATACTTACAAGATCCCGCCCCCCCAAAAGGGGACCCCCTCACTTATTAACCCCTAAAGAACTTCTAGCAAGAGGAGGAGAAGGAGGAGGAGGAAGAGGAGAAGAAGAATGTGCCATTTAGTCGCAACCAACTTATGAGGACTTCAACCTTGGGGTGTTCTAGGCAAGAGATGAACAGAGGTGGTTTGCCATCGCCTTCTTCTACATAATAACCTCAGTCTTCTGTGGTGGTCTCCCATCCAAGTACTGACTGTGGTAGATCCTGCTTAGCTCCCAAGCTGTGATGAGCTCAGGCCAAACTGGGCTATTCAGGCTGCTAGACTGCCAAACCTTTGGATAAAATATTCAGTTTGATATCAAATCAGGGGGCCCTGAAACTGGCAGGAATTCTCCTGGACACTCTAAAAAGGAAGTAACCTACCTGATAGAATGCTCTATGGAGTACAGAGACAAAAGGCCTTTTGTCTCAAGTCTCTAGAGCTCCCTCACACCCTGGTTATGCATAATGGACTCTGACAGGGACATCTACCAAGATCTTACTGGACTCATGAAAGTGTCATGAAAACCAGGGGTCATTTCGTAGAAAAAGAGCTAGGGGAACTCATTAGCATAACTCATTAGCATATGCCACACCCCCTGACATCAGGGGCCCGGCGGTGGACCTGCAAGGCCAGCGGGAGTGCTAGGAAGCCCTGCCAAGGCCCTCCCTGGCCCCAGGCAGGTAGGGGTAGGGAGAGGCGGGGAGGAAGCAACTTACCCTCCCTCTTCTCCTGCCTCCTCCTGGCTGAATGAGGGCCGGAAGCAGGATGGCCGGAAGCAGGGGGCGGGGCTTCGTCATGTGCCCCGCCCCCTGCACCTCACCCGGGGGAACTGTGTTCCCCCGCGTCCCCCCCCGAAATGACCTCTGATGAAAACTGTGTATAACTCAGACCAAAAGGTGTCACCAATAAATTTGGATGCACTACTTGCATTTTTAGTCAGCAAATCCAGGACAACATGCCCACTAATTTCACATTGAACCACTGGTCGTTCACCTAATCCCTACCATGATGAATGATGCAATCACATCAGAAGAATGTGAGAATGTTTACAGATAGTCACAGAAACTTCCTCAAAAATTGATTTTTCCATTTCCTACAGGGGGCAAAATATTTCAAGAGTTGCTATTAAGGTACAGGAAAGAATGGAATTTCTGATTGTGTAGGCACCATCCAATTTGATTAAAAATAAAGCTGTTACCAATAGTGTATGTTTATATGAACACAGTATGTTTATATTCACTGTGAATAAAGAACCAGCATGGTGCACTTTCACTTTACTCTTCTCTCTGAACCAGCATCATAAAAGATGTCAGCAGGAGAGCAAGTAGGAACTAGTGCCTGATAATTAACTGATGCTGCAAGACAGCAGGAACTGCATGAAGAACTGGGTTAAAAAATACACACACAATCCAAACCAAAGACTCAAACTCTTAGTACATTACATTTTAAAATGTCCCTGATTTTCTGAATTCATGAATTATGTATATGTAGCTTACCAAACAAAGCACTTTCTGAGATCAAGCTTATGGTACAACCACATTTGCTCCAGTACCTTAGAAGGTGATCCTCACCTGAAGCATTTACAACATGCATTCTTGGGATTATAATGAAGTAAATGAACAGATTGACAAGCCACAAAGGTACCCAGAAACAGCTATAAGGCAGGCCCAAAGATGATAACAACAGAATAACCATTGGTTGTCATTTATAGCTTGCAACTCAAACCTGTCCAACACAACCTATCCCGGACAGCGATATTTCTCTCTCACAGACCTTGGTGGCAAGCCTTTCCTTGCTTACACACAGCCCTAAACTAAAACAGCTTCTCACACAGTAATAGTGATCCACTCAACAGAGACTCAAGCCCAGAAATCAAACACTGCAACAAACCTAGTTCCCAACTTTGTCTCCATATACACTCAGGCAATAGTAATACAAAACCTAATAACTTCAGCTGAACACTCTTGAGCTCATCCACTTTCTCATCCTCCATTGTGATATATGCCTACATGTGTCAACAGTGCCCTTCTACATGCTACAATGGACAAAGAGGCCACACCCAGCCAAAAAGACTACATGTATCTGACATGAAAAATTACAATATTCAGAAACAAGTAAATGAAATTTGCTCAATGAATTGCTCAATGAATCAATACCCATATTCTGGTTTATGAAGATACAAGAATTATAAGTAGTGTAATCAGGGGTCATTTCGTAGAAAAAGAGGTGCAGGAGCTCATTAGCATAACTCATTAGCATAACTTATTTGCATATGCCACACCCCCTGATATCACTGGAAGTGTGTCAGAAGGCAACACCCACCGCTCAGGCTCCACTGAACTGTTTTGGATTGCTAGCTATTGGGAGGGGGGGAACGTGCAGATCTGTCCTCGCAGAGGAGGGAGAGCTTGTACCTGAATAAAACTTGGTCTTAAAGGTGCTACTGGACTGTCTTGGACCGGGGGGCCAGGGGGAGCTCTGCAACTTACCTGGCTGCTTCTTGCTCTGACTGAGGGCTGCTGGGGGTGGGGCTTGTTGCATGTGCCTGCCCCCTGGGCTCTTTACTGCCGGAGCTCCGCTCCTGTGCGCTCCTGCAGGAAATGACCCCTGAGTGTAATAGTTTAATATGGAAAAATCTGATATTCCTCTGTGTGTGTGTGTGTGTGCATAAAACAACAATGATTTGAAAGATTTTTTTTTAACTTACATCAAATAAATCTGTAGTTTGGTCTTTCATGAGGCAATCAGAACTAGCTACATATTTTCTGCACTTCCAGCAATGAAGCATGTCAACCTGCCTTGGCCTGTTCATCTTAATTCTGTGTACCTGTAAAATAAAAATAAAAATTGTGTAAGTTTAATAATATACTGTGCTTTCTTCAGTTCTACATTTTTAATTCAATTCACATATAAATATTTTCAATATTAGAAAATAAGTGGCAACAGTTCGTAATGGCCAAAATCGCAGACTCAGTACAAAGAACACAACAGACAAGCATAGCTCCACACATGAGATTTATTAAAACATGGTCACCGATACTAAATTATATGTCAAGGAAAGAAATACTCCCGACTAACAGTGGTTACACCTGTGAGAAATACCAAGAGATCAGATCTGCTAACAAGGTCAAACTCTGCACTAACATTCAGAACAACAATTACTACACCTATCAAAACCAATATACCTAGGGGAACATTTTTTTCACTTACTAACTAAATGTAGTACTGTACTGAGTAATGTATTACAACATATTTGTTATTTGTATATGTATTTTCCCTGTTAAAATAATAAAAATAATTTAAAAAAGAAAGAAAAAAAGGAAGTCTCATAGTCAACAGAGGACTAGCACAATAACTGAATACTGCGGTACACTTCTATTCAACAGTGTATTTATCATACATATTGTATTAAATAACTGACTGTGGACAAAATTATCATTCTCTAATGCTGCAGATTGTCTTACAAAAAATGTCATACTATAAATTCTGAGTGAGTTAAAAAAAAGTGTCTGTGGGTGTTTGGATTCAAACAGCAGGGGCCAGTTTATTCTGAAGAGTGTACGTTGGACAGAAAAAAACCAAACTAAAATTTTCTGGTGACACAATTTTGCAATATCTAGCATACTTTCAGTTCTTAGTATATAGCAGTACACCAGTATAGCTTGCCCTGTACATAGCACAGTCAAGATTGGGGTGCGTTCTGACCACGATTTGGAGGCTACTTTCACCAGTGAAAAAGGAGAGGATTTTTGCCAATTCAACCCTCCCACTGGAGACCCCCACTTTGTCTCCCTATGCTCTTCCAGGGAATCCACTGACATCCATGAGCACAGGAGGCTGTAGTGGGAAGGGGGAAGTGGAAAGTTCTGTATAGGATTTGCTTGACTGTTCTGTACTGAAATAACTATTTGAACACAGCAGTTCAAAATTCAGTGTGCTGCCTTTACAATGAAAGAAATGGTTTATAGGACAGTATGACTTTTGTGAGGAGTGAAGTAACCTGATGGTCTGATTAAGTTGGAGAAAATATAATCAGATGTTTGGCAAAAGTGAACCAACCAGTCTGCAACCTAAATATAGTCTAAGAAGGAACAAATTATTTGCAACAATCACTTATGTAAATAATCAGGACTAGCTGCCATCTTGAATTCAGCTGGGAAACTGTCACTTTTCAATCTACAGAACAGAAGGAAGTTAGGAAGAGGACATAAAATGAGATAGGTGAGTTTACAGCATTATAATAGGCCACAAATCAATCCTACTGTTTAATAAAGTTACTTACCGGACAGAAAAGCTAACATGTAGAAGGGAAAACAAACAAATCACATTATTTGAAAGCAACAGCTAAAAATCAGCTGAAGGATTCATTCCACAATAATTTTCTCCAAGGTAGCTCCTTTAGGATTAAGACTACTTAGAGAAGGAATGCAGTATGAGAGAGCAATCTTAAATAGGTCTACTCCGAATTCAGCTCAAGTATATTCAATGGGGCTCACTCTCAGGAAAATAGGATGGCACAGTTAATGTCAGATTTCCACATTTACAAGAATTAGCACCTCACTTTAAAACTCCTGCACAAATGCTAAAGTGAAACTTGGTGGCTAATTTGTTCATGCAAGCAAGCCCTTTACAACTCTTTGGTTGCAAGAATAAATTCCTGACAGAAAAATGTGACGCATTGCTGTGAAACAACTGCCAATTTGCTCTGGAACAGCATACTTCCTGACCATTAAATTGTTGCTTTGGGTCAAGCCAGGCATTTCTATGCAGGCCTAAATTGAATATTAAAAACATCCAGCCAAGGCCTAACCATTTACCAGCACAATCCAACATTCTCTTTTTAGAGAAGGTATTTCTTATTTTTTTTTTAGCTTCCAGTGCTTAGTGGTCCATGGACAGTAAGTGCAATGTCACAAGTGGAGCATCAGAAATAATACTGCATTTACAAAATGAGATTAGGACTCAAATCTTCCACAATACATATCTTGGCCACAGTACTTGGGAGGGTAGGGCAAAGATAGTATCTGCAAGTTTATAGACAATTTTGCCCACAGGTAACGTATAATTGAGCAAAATGTAATCCAGCTAATTATTCTAGACCTAAACCCACTGATGTGATCATTTTTTAAAACTAAAGGCACAATCTGGATCGGCCTGCTTGAAAAGCCACCTCATAGTAGTGACCCCTTTCTCTCTCCAGGATTCCCACACACAGACAAAGCAAAATTATTCCTGTTAATCACAGATCCATCTCATCGAATGTGGATCTGCTCACCATTCAAAGGTTTACCATTTATCACTTCCCCCTTCCACTAGTCATTTTCTTCCAGAAGGGTTCACTTTTGGCACCGGCTGAAAGAAAATCACTGGCGGGGGAGGGGGCTGGGGAGAGTTCAGCATCCCTGTTTCTGTACCAATTTAAATCATGCTCCTATCAACCCTCTTTGGTTCAAACGTTATAAAGGTTCATATGAATATATGACATTCTTTACATTCAGTTTGACCATTGGTCCATCTATCCCAGAGTTGTCAATTATAACTGGCAACAATTCTCCGGGTTCTGGGGCAGCCCTTCTGCCTGAAATCCTTCCTAAACAAACAAAACCCCAGAGATATATGATGGGACTGATCCTGGGATCTTATGTATGCAAAGCATGTGCTCTGTCATTGAGCTACTGACAATTTAGAAAAAGAAGGGTCCATACTACTGATTCTTTCATAGAGATTATGGCCCGCCTAGAGTTTTGAATGCTTGATATTAGTTATGCAAACAGGTAGAAAACTCTAGAAGGTGGTTTTAGGTTCCAGTGTTCAAGATTTATAGACCACCTTTGCACTACAGAGGACTTTCAAAGTAGCTTACAGAAAACAGCAAAGTCCACAACTTAAACACAAAGCACAATTAACAGTCACTATAAAATAAAAAAGGGATTCTGATTAAAGCTCATCAAAGGCTTGAGCAAATACAACCATCTTAATTTGGAACACAAGAGTCTTATTAGCTTCTGCTTGGAAGTACATTCTGTTACAAAATTAGGCTTCTAGGTATACATTCATAGGCTCAGATTGTAAAAGACATCAGAAGAGGCTCCGAATTTTATTTTTATTTATTTACATTTACCCCCAAGTGGTTTAAATATGTCTCTTCCCCAATTTATCTTTTTTTTTTATTCCCCCAGAGGGGATTTTTTAAAATTATTTTTATATAACTACAAATACTACAAAGAAAAAAGGGAGAGGGGGGCTACACATACTGGGATAAAGTAAAGAATACCAACTACTACCTAAAAACCCAAGAGAGATCTCCAATAAGCTTAGTTACAATAAGTCTTAGCTTCAATTTCATCTCTACAAACAGAGTCAAACCTTTTCATTTTTTTCTCTCTCCTAATTTTAAAAACTTAAATTGCCTGAAAACCACCCCGCATTCATCACTAACATATTGTTAAGTTCAAGGCACAATTCAGAGTCCTTCAGCCTTTACTTCTTTTTCCCCTTTCTCAGCTTATAAGGACTTCTTGGAGCTACTGCTCCCTGCTCAGTCAAAGAGTCCTTCCCAGAAGATTCCGAATCCACTTCTCCACTTGATTTATTATCGTCTTCCTCTGCTTTCCCCAGCTGGGCCCTCGGGAACTCTTTAGCTTTAAACACAGAGTCAATCTTTTCTTTTTTATCCTTTATCTTAAAAGTCACTTCTTCAGGAAAAAGCCATTGATATCCAATTGAATTCGTCTGAAGAAAAGTCACTAGTTCTTTATATTTCTTCCTCCGTTGTCTTACATCAAATGGAATATCCTTCAGCGTTCTGATAGCATTTTCCTCCACTTTCAGAGGTGCTCCAGACACTGCTTTCAGGACTGCATCCCTTATATGTCTCTTCGAGAATCTTACAACAATTTCCCCAGGCAGATTATTTTTCTTTATATAGCCTGAATATGATCTGTAGACCATATCCATCTTGCTTTTCAGTTCATCCTCTTTCATACCTGCCACTGGGGCTAGTAGCTCATACACCCGTTCTTTGAGATTCTCACCTGGTATTTCTGGAACACCTTGGAAGTGAAGAACCATGTTGGCCTTATCCACGTGAACTTGTAATAATTGGTCTTTCATTAAACCTTGTTCAGACTCCAGCTTCTTGACTTTTTTCTTCACCTTTTGAGTATCCTCAGCCACTTCCTTCACTTTTTGACTGTCCTGCTTCATTATTTGTATCAGTTCACTTATCTGTGTTTGTTGACTTGTAATTCCTTGGGTTACCACCGTCATCTGTTCCTTAAAGACATTTAGCTGCTCCAGCAGAGGACGCATGTACTCTGCAACTGCTTTAGCCGTCTCGTTCGTCACTTCCGGTTTTGGAGTCTCTAAGCCTTTCCCGGCTTGTCCCTCTTCCCCGCCATCTTTTGGGATTGTTTACAATCGTGGAAAGTTTAAAGTTCTCTGAATTTGCGCTTGATCGTTTAAATTCGCTCTGGTGTTTCCCGGCACTTTCTCCGCGTTTCTGCTCGCTTCCCCCCCTTTCGCTCAGCCGTATACGCTGGGAGGCGGCGCCACCTCTTCTCCAATTTATCCTTATAACAACCCTGTGAGGCAGGTTAGGCTGAAAGTGTGTGCCTGACCTGAGATTTGAACCTGGTTGTCTTAGATCCAAGTCCATCACTCTAACCAAAACGTTCACAAGGTTGATTTTGCACAGCCAGGATGCAGGACGGGGGGATGGTAGACACCTGGGGGCCCTTGTCATGCCAGTCCAGTTATACCTGGGGCCCCTCAGAGCTGGGCAATCACTTGATTTGTTTTCGTATGTTGTTT